ACGGAGAGAGCCTGGGCAGAAACCAGCCTTGCTGGCACCTTGATCTTGTACTTCTATCCTACAGAACTGTGAGAAAATAATTTTTTTTTTTTGGTTTGTTTGTTTGAGCCACATCATCTATGGTACATTGTTACAGCACTACTAGGGACCAATAACCACTCTGGGCATGAACAAAGGTAGAAGGAGATGGGGAGGCTGGAAGGGCTCTTGAAGAGTTCCAAATCTACCTGGACAGCCAGGAGACGGACAGCACCAGGCAGTTTCAGAGGGAAGGCCAAAGTCAGCCTGTTATAGGCTCAGTGGGTGCACTATACCCACAAATCTTGCCAGACCTTTAGGAGGAGGCCACATGGTGCAAATTACCCTCCAGTCACTTCAAAGTTCCTCATTAAAACAATGTGTTTTTTGGGGGCTGGGGATGTGGCTCAAGCGGTAGCGCGCTCACCTGGCATGCCTGGGGCCCAGGTTCGATCCTCAGCACCACATACAAACAAAGATGTTGTGTCCGCCGAGAACTAAAAAATAAATTAAATTCTCTCTCTCTCTCTCTCTCTCTCTCTCTCTCTCTCTCAAAAAAAAAAGTCTCTAGTTATTTACCAGAAACACATATCCAATCTTACATTTGATGAAAATTAAAAGTTAAGAACATACATGCCAAACCCACTGGTAGCATTTTACACATATAATAAATTTGGCTCTAAAATTGCCCCAGATTTCCAGGGCCTGGTGATTCCAATACAATGTGTGTCAAAGATTCCCTCTGGGTCCAGGTGTTAGCTGATAATCCTCTGTTTCTAAGTCTTACTTGTGGAAAATAGAGCAGAGTGGATGTGGTTAATGATTGCAGCTATGCCACACTTGAGTCAACAAAATATAAGCCCAGGGAATATTGGGTAAAGCTGGAATACCCAGGGGAGCACAGATAGCTCACCTCTAGAGTAAATCCAGAATAGATACAATACTTAGAGATGCAATAAGCGGCCCAGGGGATCCACTAGTGAAATAGGCCCACACATCCACTTTTGTCTGAATACACCTATGAATTCAGCAGCATTTTGACATACTCTAGTCACTCACCCTTCTGCCCAATTCAATCAAAGTGGTCAAATTAGCGATGCCTGTATCCAGTCAAATGTACCTTTTTATCAACTCTAAGAATAATGGGATGCTTGTCCAAATGAGCATCAGGAGACTGTATTTCAAAGGAAGGACACTTACTTCAAAGAGAGGGATGGGGAAAACTTGATGATTGGTGGTAAGTTATAGTTGGAAATAAGAAGTTCTGGGTGCTGCTGTACTAAAGTAAGATGATCATAGCTAGTGAGTTCTTCATACTCTTTATTTTATATGATCTTTAAAACAATCCTGTGGTGTTGTTATGGCTTGAGTATAGTTTGTGCCACCAAAACTCATATTGAGACTTGATGCCCATTGTAAAGCCAAAAATTCACCTCTTTTCTTCACAAATAACCAAGCTCAAATAGTTTGTTAAAGCAAAAGAAAACAGACTTAAGAAAGAGGTGTATGCTTTTTCCATATTACTCATGAATAAACCGAGGTTGAGACATAGGCTTTGGTACACAACCACTCAGTTAACACACGGTCAAGATTCTTGACCAGAGGATCCAAGTTTATGACCCATAGCAATGGGTTGTACCTAGCATCCTCACAAAGAAAATGTAGCCTTGCCCACAATGTTTGGCTTCTATGAAAAGATCTGATGATCTTGAAAAGTTGGCCTGTGCTTTCACTTGGTGAGTCCCACTTGAGTTGAGCCATAGTTGTTCCTTTTGGACAGAGTTGATGTTTTTTTTCTAGTTCTCCACAATCTTGCCTGGCCTGCTAGATTCTTGATCATTGTCCAGCTGGCCACTGTAGATATTTGAGTTTGAACCCTTTGGTTACAGTTGCACTGATAAAATGAGAATGGATTTGCTGTGGGAGCTATATACCTCTAAAGTAGGGTTTCTCAACCTAAGCATGAGTGTGATGTTTTGATCTAGACCATTCTTTGCTGTGGGGGCTGGCTGGAGTATTACAGGCTATTTGGAAGCACCTTTGCCTCCCCTCATTTGTCATGATTCCATCCTCCAAATCTGACATCCAAAACTATCAGTAGACATTGCCAAATTTGACCTAGAGTTGGGGTGGCAAAAGCGCCCCTAGTTGAGAATCTGTTCTTTGAAATACACACTTTTTGAGGCTCACAACACTTAAAAATATAGTCACACAATAAAGACTCTATTTAAGTAAACAGTATTGCACTGATATCATTTTCTGATTTTCATAACATATTATGGATATGCATCTTTTACTGGGAAAGCTATTATACGAAAATGCTATTTTTTGCAATTTTTATGTGTTTTGAAAAGTTACTTAAAAATTAAAGAAATGGTTGGGTATTGAATAAGTGAATAATGCTGATATGCACACCTCTTCTGAATTTTAGTATGTATTTGATTTCCTTGGGAGGAGCAAATCTCACAATCCATACCTCTATATTCCAGGTGCCTAGTAAGTCATCTGCTATGAAAAATCTTCAGGAAAAGTTTAAGGTACTTTAAAGTAATTTAAGGGAAAGTCCAGAAAACTGGAATTCATGAATAGACATTAAATGACCTGGTAATCTCTTGAAAGAAAAGAAATTATCTTTCTTGATAAAGTGATGGGGAAAGAAGGCAATTAAAGAGATGATAAAATCAACTATGAATGGGGCTGGGGCTGTAGCTCAGGGGTCAAGCGCTTGCCTCACATGTGTGAATCACTGGGTTCGATCCTCAGTACCATATAAAAAACAAATAAAGATACTGTGAGTTCACCTACAACTAAATAAATATTTTTAAAAAGTGAACTATGAAGAAATTCAAATTGCTCAACTCACTTGATCCATTTCACAGAGGGAAGCAACATTTTGAAGCTGTGAAAGAACAAAGGAAGGAAGGGAGGAAGGAATGAACTGAAGAAATTAAGGGAGGAAAGAAAAGAAGGAGGGGAGGATGTGTGAGAGGGAGGAAAGGACAGAGAAAGCAAGGAAAAAGAGGGGGGGAAAACGACAAGGTACAAAGAAAAAGAAATTATTCCTATAATGATTCTCAGTTGTAAACATATTTTGAGCAGATTGTAAAACGTAATTCGACTGAAATTAGATTACAAAGAGCACACAGTACACTAAGTACGAGTGTATTATGCAAACGGGAAATTAATTAGTCTGGAATGCATAGGGCATCTCCTCTACAGTCTGTGGGAGTCTGAGAGCTGTTGGTGACAGTCTTGTGCTTTCCCTAGACATTGCACATGTCATTGCACCAGGGCATTTTTAGGCTCCGATCCTGGCCCACTAGTACCCACTGCAGTTGGCCACCTAATCTTCCAGCCATAACCCCTGGATTCCAGGGACACTGATACATTGCTAGAAGAGAATGATCCCGAAACCCAGGCTTCTCTGGCACAGCTAACACAGGCAGTGGCATTTCAGTTAAGCAAGTACAAAATGGTAATGGAACACCTCCTTGTGGGTTTTGTGAAATTCTGCCTCCAAATGAAGAAAAATGGGTTTTAATTATATACTAATGCATTAATTCACTGATTAATAATTTTAATAGTAAAAAACTAATAGATCCATGGAGTGTTTCTATTACTCTAGTAGCTTATTGGGCCATACTACAAGTTTATTATTTTATTTTAATAGAGTAGCATTGGGTTTGATTTCCTTGGCTGATATGAAAAGACCTATGGTGATTTCTATGTCTATAAATCAGGGACACATGGCAGCATGATTAAAATATGCCTGTATTTCAGGAGAAAAGACTGGAAAGATGTTTAGAAACTCCCAGCCAACTAAACATAGTTTCATGTGATGAACTTCGGAGTTAATTAACAAATTTGATTAATGCTGAGTACATTCATAATATATTTTTTTATCCCCTTCATGACCCTATGAGTGTAGTAGAGATTGAGCATCCCTAATATGAAAATCCCAAATCAGAAATGTTGCCCAATTCAAAATTTTTTGAGTGCTATAAGTAAAAATGATACATCTAGTCTCATGATGGTTTGCAGTCAAATTGTAAGCACACTGAAAAATATTGTATAAAATTACTTTCGGGCTATGTACAAAAGGTGTATAGGAAACAAAAGTAAATTTCATGTTTAGACTTGGATCTCATCCCCAAGATATCTCATTATGTACATGCAAATATTTCCAAATTCAAAAATAACCCAAATCCAAAACACATCTTGGTCCCAAGCATTTCAGATATAAGATACCCAACCTGTATAAATGTTTTTCCACTTAATATGTTAGGACATTAAAAATTCAGAAAGTTAAAAGATTCGCTTATTGCTGTATATAAAAGTCAGAACTGAGCACAAACTCAGGTTTGATTCCAACCTGAAGTCCATGAACTTACCGCAATACCCTGCTGTCTGCTTGGGACCACTCACGTGGATAGTGCTGACATTTGTGAATGCAAAGTGGGAAAAAAGTGAAGTGCACAGACAAAGGAAGAGGCACTGGTCCAGTAGGACCAGTGCTGCCTCCGCTTTTTCTTAGGTTTACCTTTCAAATCTATCCAGAGGAGCCAGGGTATTAGGAGTATGGCAACAACCTCCTGTTCATCCCAAGTACCAATCAAGAAATGCCCACTCAAGCCGTCCTAAGGCCCTCAACTTCATGGTTGATTTCCTGATACAAACAACCCCTTGCCTTTCGCTCTTTTAATGAGAGCAGCTTTGCCCCTCGCCCCCCACCCCCATCCCATCCTCTCATTTTAATTTCTGTTCTGTAGCATTTGATCACAAGGGAGGCACTGGCTCGGCCTTCTCCAGCATCTCTCCATTATCAAATACACTCCTTGTTCCCACTACTGGCTGCTTAGGGAGATGTTAAGTGATTCCCTGGTTTGAGTCTGCAGCACTTCAAAAGGCTGTTCTGTCTTCACGAGAGCCGGCGCCTGGCACATGGCCACGGCCGGGGAGCTGAGGTTTGCTCTTGAGTCCCAATGCAATCATGCACTGTCTGCTTCTCACTGCTCCCAAGTTCTGAAAGTGTTTTCAAAAAACCTCTGTGTTGTCAGAATGACAATTGACTCAAGATAGCCAGAGCCATTCAGAGGCTGAAAAACGCCTGTCTGGGGCAGAGCGATTAGGGAAGGACATTTCCATCAGAAGCAGAATGGGTCTGGAATAGCCAGCAAAGTCCTTTTCTGAAGGAGGAGAGGTAGGTGATTTCTCCCTCCTCTGACGCTAACAGGCACTCACTCTGCAGGACACCATGTTCTAGCCATGCCGGGGCTCCACAAAGAAACACATATGCACCCAACACGGGAGGGCGGACAAATCAATCACCCATTTTGTATGAACTTGGAGAGGCCTAGGCAACACCCAAAGAAAGACACAATTTTCTGTCCTCAAGAATACTGCTTTCTCAAAGGAAAAAAAAAAAGCAGATGAATAAACTACTCTAATTGCAGCAAGGTAGAGCTATATGCAGTGGAGTCTGGAGATGCACACCTGGCTTAGACTGGGGTGTGTGTGTGTGTGTGTGTGTGTGTGTGTGTGTGTGTGTGTGCGCACATGCATGCACCTACCTAGGCAAATGGGTCTCCAGCCAGTTTAGGTTGAGGACAAGGGAATAACAGCAGTCTTAAATAGGCACCAGTCATAGGCAGAAGGACACTACAGGCAACCAGCGTGTCAGAGTGTCCTGTGCAGTAGGCAGCCTGAAGGTAGGAGATTCATAATACTTGAGTCCCTATTATATGCAAAAAGGAGTGGGCCTAGGAGGTAAGATTGAAAAGTAAAGGTAAAATGACAGAAATCAGGCCTCTATGCTGCAGGATCAAGCTTGGACTTGTGATTCACAGATGACACAATAAACAGGCAGGAGGGATAGCTAACAGCTGTACTGCCCCAACCTGTTACAGAGCCTCAGGCCCAACAGCTCAGGGCTGTGAGCAGAGTCAGCAGGGGGACTCGGTTTCCCTTCTCAGGCTCACAGATTAGAGCTCATTTATGAGCCATCTATTAACATTGAACACAGCATGCAACACAACTTCTGTCTTACAAGGGGGCACTTAGAACCTTTCCCCACTCCCAGGAAAATCTAAACATAAGATTAAGGAATAGCCAAGGGACTAAAGTGTATATAATGAATTAACCAGAAACCTTTAGGGCTGATATAAATATAAAAGGAAATTTATATTTTATATAAACATAAAAGCAAATTCTTACTTAAGATTGTGACAAGAGAGACAGGGATGTTCAGGTGCTACCATGCAAGGATCTTTAAAATTCAGTTGTTTCAAAGAGGCAGGCCCTGTCTTTTACACTAGCATCGCTACTCAGAGCATCCTCATTGGAACTGACAGCAATGGCATTAAGTAAAAAGCACAAAAGATCAAGCCATATGAGGAAGTAGCTATACAAAAGAATTTTCACAAATACTTCTAGAAAAAAAAAAGAAACTACCTTCTTTGCTTGATGAGGCTGATCGAGATAAAAGATTCACTAAATTAGTACAGTTCCTGGAAAATGCCATAAGAAAGACAAAAGATGAGGAAAAAAAGAAATTTAAATCAGGCCTGGGTTATGCCAAATAGAGATTGTCTAATTAAACAAAGAAATAAGACAAAATTAACGTACAGGAACTTTTCCTCATACAGAAGGAAAATAAAGCCTGACAGTTTAAGTAGGAAAGTTTATGATAATTTTTAAAGGAAAATAAGAAGAAATGAAAGCAGAAGATTGGTTGATATCAGACAGTTGATAAACTTGCATAGAGGCTAATATTTGCTCAACATGAAGTGTGAAATCTTGTGGACATGATGCCAGAGAGGGCTGAGCAGGGGATGTCAGTGGTACAACCCCAGAGAACTATAAGAAGGCACAGTACAGATTGCTTGCTAGTCACCAAAACCTGTCCTCCATCCCCACAAGATATGTGGATAAATCACGGGTGCTCATTGACTTGCTATGCAACCATGTCCCAACAAACCCATCATAAATCCAAAATGCACTGGACACACCTAACCAACACAACACCCTAGCTCAGCAACACCAGACAGTCAGTGGTGCCAATTCATGATCTCCAGGCTGATGGGGGAACTTTGCTAGTTGCATCGTGGGAGAGAGGATTGTACTATATATCACTAGACTGGGAAACAATTAAAATTCAAAGAATTGTTCTGACCAAATGTGTATCAATTTGCACCATTGGAAAGTGAAAAAGGTGGAAATCAAATCATGGTAAGTTGGAGATTGTACATTTCTTCACCTCCCAAGCAGGCAGATGTGGTCAGATGACTGATTTGTGGTCAAAGGAATGTGAGAAGTGACATGTCCCACTTTCCAGTCTGGGTCTTGCAACATTTCGTCCCACGCTTTCATCCCCTTCCTGTCAGCCAAAACTCAGAGGGGGGTGTGACTAGGCTCCAAAGAGGCAGCTTCCCACAGAAGGAACCTGAGTCTCTGAAAGACTGTGGAGAGATTTGTCATCAACTTGGACCACTCATCACCAAGTTGAATACAAGAGAGAAACAAGTTTCTATAATCTTTATGCCAATGTTAAATCAGACCCAACAAGGCGAGGGATCCATTCACCAAGGATTCCCGCCAATGCAACCATCACCTTTTGCAAGAACCATGCACTGTGAAGACTTAACAGAGGGCATCTGTGTTAATCACCTTGTTGTCTCTGTGATCAAAATACCTCACCAATTTATTTATTTTCAGAGGTTTTAGTCTGTGGTTGACTGACTCCATTGCTCTGGACAGGAGGTAAAGCAGAACATCATTATGAAAGGGCATGTTAAAAGATAGCTGCTCATCTCATGGCAGCACAGATGCAGAGAGTGAGATAAGGGAATCAGGAAAAGAAAAACTCTTCCGGGGCACACCCTCAGTGATATGTCCCTCCAGCTAGGTCCCAACCCATCCAGTAGTCCATGCAACCATCAATGGTTTGTCCACTGATGAAGTCAGAGTTCTCATGATTCAGTCATTTCACAAGAGCCCCACCTCTGAACAAGCAACATTTGAGACACATGAAGCTTTGGGAGAGATTCTAAATCCAAGCCCCAAGAGCATTTGATATTGCTTGGAAGAGGGGAAGGAAGAACTGATGTGGCAGTGCATTTGGGTTGAGCCCATAAGCAGGAGACATCCTCTGGACAAAGGAGAGAGACAGCAAATGAGAGAGGACGAATTCCATGGTGTGCTCAGAAAGAGCAAACGTGGCTGGTCGGCAGAGCAGGTGGCTAGTAGAAGTTGGAGGGAGAGCCAGAAACGCACATGAAGACCAGAATGTGAGAATGCTTTTTTGGACTTTAACTTGCAAGCCAAATAGGACCCTGCTCAGGTTTAAAATAAGCACTTGATTAGGCTCAATTTTTGCACTAGAAAAGGCCCAATGGAGCAGGGTGTGCAGAATATGCCGAGACAGGCAACCAAGTGAGGAAGTATCACATGAGTGCACAGGAGCTCTCGTGGGGTCCTTACTGGGAGTGTAATAGTGAGACTGGAGAAGAAGGGGCATCTTTGAAAAATCCATCAGAGTTAAGTGCACAGAACCTGACAACAATGGAATAAGGTCTGCTGAGGAACATGGCTAAGTCAACTATTCATCTAGGTCTCTTACATTGAGAGTTGTTTGTGGGCCACTTTTTTAGAATCAATTGGCTTTCCCTCTCCCTCTCTCTAGAGCCTTAGAGTTCCTCTCAAACAAATTATCATTTTACTTCCAGGCCATTACCTTCCACATACCCTCCACCATCTGCCTACCCAAGAACCTTTAAGAGTTGTCTGTCCCTGGTCAAATTGCCTTTTCCATTAATATCCTGGGCACAGCTGACCTCACCTTCTAGAATCTTCTCCCACCTTCCTGAAGCTGGAGGACCAACCATTTTTGGTTTGAAGAGTGAAGATAATAGCTGAGAAAATGGAGAAGGATTTCAAAGGATGGGAAACAATGACCAAAAGAGTGAAAGACCTGAAGGTGGACACAAGAGCCTGAGCCTGGACCAGTCACTAGCCTTCCTCAGACCTCATGTCTGTAAAACAGAAGGGTTGTACTGGACAATTTCTAAGGATCCTATAGCCCTCATGAAGCTATAGAAACAACTTGTTCTAGAACAATAAAAAAATAATAATTATTGTTCATGAATTATGTATTATAATGCAAATATCAACAATATCTAAATTTCGGATATGACCAAATTAACATTGTGAAACTATCTAACTAAATCACAAATTAAATGAGCTAAGAAATGGAAAATGTATGTAAGTGCATTTCTTTCTTTTTTTGCGGCGGGGGGGTCTAAATAAACACAATAGTTTAAGAGTTGGAGTCATTTACCAGGAGTCAATGTCGAATATGGAATTAAATTAACAATAATTGCCACTCTAAAAGAAAGAATAATAATTCTGGTAACTAGAAAGGATATACAAAATTAATACTAATAATTACAGAGGAATTACTTAATTATCTGACTTACTGAGAGAATACAATCAGATGCTATTAAATAGAATTGAACCTTATATTACTTTACTCTTATGTGTCAGTCAAACTGGATTCTTTAGAACAAAGAAGCAGTGTTGAATTGATACATGATGTAAAATTATGGTTAGCTAAAATAATTATCTGCTCTAATTAATTTAATTTATTTTATTGTAGTCTTGGTTCAAAGAGGTACAGAAATTATAAAATATTGGGGGACATTATATAATAAGGCAATGTTAAGGAAATCATGACTTTTTTATGAACCTCAAAGCAAATATGCCAATAAGATTTATGATATGGCCATTATAACAAATTTTCACAGGATGGTGACCATTTCTCAAATCTTTTGAAAATGGTTTTTGCCTAAAGATGGAAAATCCTCTCTGGAGAGCATTAAAGTATAAGTAGATAGTAATAATAACTTACAATTACTGAGCACTTTGTATCTGGAACTCTTTCAAGTATCTTACAAGAGTCACTCATTAAGTCACTGCAGCAGCCCTAAGAGATATGGACAATAGCTACATCCATTTTACAGGTAAAGAAACTTAGTCACAGGGAGGCCAAGGGTAATGCAGGAAGTAAATATCCAAGCCAGGATTTGAAGCTCAGCAGTCTGCTTCCAGAGCCTGTGTTCTAAACAACGTCCTTCACATCAATCTTGATATTTCCTAACTCAGTGATCAAAGATGATCAGAGAATTTATGCCCAATGTTTCTTAATGGCTGCTAGAAGGTTAGGGGTTGAGTAGAGCCAGTGGTGTAGAAGGGCTTTCCTGAACTTTTTTAACAAGCTCAGGAAGACTTAGGCCAGATAGTGGCATCAAACTTTCAAGAACAGGTCAGCATTCCAGAGGCAGTACCATTTATATGCGGCACACAAAGTCTGCTTTAAAATAATAAAATATTTAAATTTGCTTTGCTGGAGTTACCTCCATACGTTGTACCAAAATGTCCATTGATAGTCACAAACAAGAGTATCATCCACCACAAGCCAGAGAAGACAGTCTGACCTTTCCAAAACCCAACTCCAATAACCTTCTAGGCACCCAGTGTACACTCATCTTGTCTTTAGGAAAGAAATGTACCTGATCCCTTATGTTTCTAGTGACAAGATAATTTACTGTCCAAAGCAGGCATTTTGAGTTGGAGAAGGGACATTATTAATAATGACTCCAAGAAAAAAAAAAAAAACTAACACAAGGCTTGCCTCACACAAACTGGGAGAGATTGCCACATTATTCATCCTTTTCTTTCCCAGGTTGTGGTGCACGGTGTCATTTTGCCA